CCCAACTATTTTTTTGTTTTAGTTGTCATTGTTGTTTGGCAGGCCCAGGCTGGGTTTGAACCCACCAGCTCCGGTGTATGTGACCAGTGCCCTAACCACTGAGCTATGGGTGCTGAGCCACTTTTATTATTATTATTATTGTTATTTTGCAGTTTTTGCCCAGGGCCAAGTTTAAACCACCACCTCAGGTATATGGGGCCAGCACCCTATTCCTTTAAGCCACAGGCACTGCCCAAGAGCCACTTTTTTTTTTAAAAGACAAAAGGCTGTTGCCCTGGGCATAGTGCCTGGTGTCATCATAGCCCACAGCAACCTCAAACTTTCGGGCTCACTGATCCTCTTGCATTAGTCTCCAAGGTAGCTGGGGCTATAGGCACCTGCCAGGGTGCCTCGCTAGTTTTTTTCTTTTACTATTATTTTTAAGAGATGGGGTCTTGCTCTTTTTCAGGCTGGTCTCAAGCCATCCACCTGCCTCAGCCTCCCAAAGTGCTAGGATTATAGGTGTAAACCACCGTGCCCACCTATCCTGTTTACTTTTAACAGCTGCCTTGCAAGGCTCTAGAGTACAATTACAAGGGATCTACAGTAGAACCTCCATAGTTGACCACCTCTCTACATTGACCGCCTCCTTAAGTTGACCTAATTTTCATAGGTCGGACATGTGTGACATGTACATATCCGTACGTATCAGCACCACCTCTGTATGTTGACCAGTTTGTTACTTCCCATGGGGGTCAACTTACAGAGGGTCTACTGTATTTCCTATCACCATTATCCTCCATTAGAGTTTGATAACCTTTCACACTTGAGTGAAAAGTAATAATTGTGAGTTGACCATTTTTAGGAATTCTTTCTATTGGATACAATAAAATGCTATTTAGAAGTAATTAAATGTGACTCTGTAGTATGACTGTTTCACAGAGACCCGAAGAATTCCCAGGGTAAATCTTAGCTTTCTCACCCCACGGGTGACGTGCTCCTGGGCTGGAGTTAGGTTTGCATTATTGTCTCCTGCTTTTCAGATGCCTGTAGTTTCCTGGCTTTGCCTTTGGCAGAAGGAGCCTGAGATGTCCCTGGTTCTACCAGGTAATGCTAGGCTCACAGGTGAGGTTTTGACTGCTCAGCCCTGTGGGAGGGGAGAAATGCCTCCAACTCTTTTTGTTTTGCCCTTCTCACCTTGGCCTTGATGGGGCTGTCTCAGTGGTGACCTGAAGAAGTCAGCCCCACATTTCCTAGTTGGCGAGCTGACCCTTGGCTGGAAGCCGCCTCTTCCAGAGGAAAACACCCTTCCGTGGGAAGCAGAGGAAGGTACTGGCAATGCCAGTCAGACTCAGGGAACTGTTTTTGTGGGTATTCATCTTGGGGAACATCTTCAACCTACTTCAGTCAAAGATTGGACAAAAAGGGATGCTGACCTGCCTGTAGCAGGGGAAGTCAGTCTGATTTCACTGGTGCCCCTCCCCTGTGACAGGCACTGTGATGCAGGCCTCCCTGCATAAGGTCAGGGCTAGTCTCACTCATTGTCAGATTTCCCACGTGCTGATGGAATAACTGAATGTTAGAACATCCCCAGGTGAATGACAAGCCCTGCCCTCATGGGCTGAGAGTTTTAGCCGGGTTAAGACCTGTTCACAAGCTGCTCCAGTTCAAAGTGGACTGTTAGTAGTGGGCATTGAGTGGTGTGGTGGGAAATTCTTTATGGATGAAGTTGAGACCTGGGGAAGTAAAAACACCTCCTTGGAAAGAGACAGTCCAGGGACATGACCTTAGTTCTGACTGCTCACAGCACTGGGCTCCTACACATTACACTTCTCTGTTTTCTCTCAGATGTACATAGTGACCTTGGGAGTCCTGTGTGTAGCTAATTGTATTTGTTACAGACGAAGATGACTTGTACAGACTTGGACAATCCATGTGGAAGACTAGGGTGAAAATTGGGAGCCCCAGGGGAGGCCAGTGGCATTGTAGCAGTGTGAAGGTCAGAAAAAGGACAGAACCCAGGCCCTTAGCATCTGTCCTCTCAGTATCTGAAAACCACATAAACAGAACTATTTGTCAGGCTTTGTCAATGAGTATAGTTTCTGTGCCGAGCCTCTTAATGTGACAAGCGTGCTCAAGTGAGTTGAACATCTCCTCCCATGAAAGTTAATGTATTAGTGCTTGATCATTTTCAGAACTGACAGGAAATCCTGACTTGGACTGCTGAGAGAAGTGGCCAGTGCCTCTTCCCTCCCACCCAGAGGATGTGGGAACTTGTGAGTCAAAAGGGTCATGGACAATGGGCTGCATTTTCTTTCTTCCTCAAGAAATGAAGCCAAAAAAAAAAAAGAAAACCACATAAGATAGGACCCAGCCACAAACATATGCCAGGATCCTAGGAAATATTCAGAGTCCTTCACTGAATGTATCAAGAGGCCACGACACTGGGTAGGGTATGGTGCATTCTCCCCGTCGCACTCCATGCAAATCTTACTTCAAGCCCAATCCATGTATATCAAGGGGGCAAGTGACCTAAGTGCTTTCAGAACCTTCTGAGGTCTTTTTCTTTTTTTTTATTTATTAAATCATAACTGTGTGCATTGATACATTTATGAGGTTTGTTGTACTGATTTGATATACAATGTGAAATACTTACATTAAACTAAGTAACACGTCCATCACAATTAATACTCTTTTCTTAATAGTTTTGAAATGTACCATTGCATCATGCATATTAGGTGAGGTCCCCCCAAGTACCCTCCCTCCTCTCTCTTCTCTTCCCTTCTACTAACTGGACTATAGTTAAGTTTTACCCTTCATATGAATGTGTAGGTGATTATATATTTATCTCATAGTAGTGAGTACATTGGATACTTTTTTTTCCATTCTTGAGATACTTTACTTAAAAAATACGGAATGCTTCATGAATTTGCGTGTCATTCTTGTGCAGGTGCCATGCTAATCTCTGTATTGTTCCAATTTTAGTATAAGTGCTGCTGAAGCGAGCACTCTTTTTTTTCTTTTTTCTTTTGAGACAGACTTTCACTTTGTTGCCCTCGGTAAAGTGCTGTGACGTCACAGCTCACAGCAACCTAAAACTCCTGGGCTTAAGCAATTCTCTTGCCTTAGCCTCCTGAGTAGCTGGGACTACAGGTGTCTACCGCAGCACCTGGGTATTTTTAGAGACAGGGTATTGCTCTGGCTCAGGCTGGTCTCGAACCTGTGAGCTCAGGCGGTCCAGCTGCCTTGGTCTCCCAGAATGCTAGGATTACAGGTGTGAGCCACCATCGTGGCCGATCTCTTCTCAGGTTATTTTCTAAAGAAATTTGAAAAGTTCTTGGTTTTTCTTTGGTGCTGATATTTTTCTCTTTTGAGAAAAAAAGCTTACATTTCTTTCCTATGAGCCTTTTATAAGTTGGGGGGAAAAAAACTATTCAAAATGTAAGCATAGAAATGATAACCAATATCTTCATTCTTCATACCTACCGTTGAGGATTTTCTTGGAGTGTTTTTTGATTTTTTTCTTTTTTGAGGAAAAGCTCATCTCTTCCTCTAACCTCATGTATATGTCCTACCAGCGATCTTGATTAATTCCTGGGTAGTTAGATTCTTTCTGTGCTATCCAACTTGATACAGTGTTGAATGTACTGTTTATTTCCTTTCCTACTGCTCTTCTAGAGTCTCTAAAAGCCTGAATAAGACAGCACAGTGCGCTGATTTCCTCCACATAACACCTATACTAAACCTGTCTCCCAGCCAATCTGTTCAGGGCTGTGGTATTATCTGCGCCTTGTTTGGCAACAAGCTCACTTTCTTCTCTTCTTTAAAACAACCCCTGATTATTTTGAGTGCATACCCCCTGGAACAAAGGACATTTGATTCTCATTACTTTGAAAGTGGGTGTTTATATCCACGGTGGCAAGAGAAACAAGGCGCAGCTCACTCCGTCCTGTGATAACTGCTGCAGGCTTTGGTGGCAGCCTGCCAGCTGTGGGTGCTTTTGTTTGTGGCTTTCAGAACAAACACACCTACATACCCCTACCTTGTTCTCATCCCGTTGAATGACATTTTTTTAGGGCTCTACTTTTATTATAATATTGATGCTTTTGTTGTCCTGAAGAATTGTAGCATTTCATTTTTTATAGCTGGGAGAAAATTGTACAGGATGGGATAATTTCTAAGGATCAGGAATGTCCTAATGGTGGGGACTTACATAAGTATCTAGACATTCTGTTTTTGCAAATTGTTGCCAAGGTGTGGAATCCTCCACTCCAATCTGTACTTTGTCAGCTCAGCTGAGTGTAAAAATAGCCACTTCATTTGTTTATAATTATAATTACATTTTCTCCATTATTGATTTTGTATCTTTAGTATAGCTATATGGAAAAGGATTTAATCATGTGGAGAGAAGGGGACACTTCTGCACTCTGGTGGGATTGCAGACTATTGACAGCCTTTCCGGAGAGAAGTATGGAGAATCCTCAAAAATCTAAAAGTAGATCTTCCAATGCAATCTCATTACTAGGTATCCACCCAGAAGAACAAAAATTATTTTACCACAAAGATATTTGTACCAGAATGTATATTGCAGCTCAGTTCATAATTGCCAAGTTGTGGAAACAACCTGAGTGTCCATCAACCCATGAATGGATCAACAAACTGTGGTATATGTATATCATGGAATACCACTGAGCCATTAAAAAAGATGGGAGACTTTACACCTTTTACATTTACCTGGATGAAGTTGAAATACATTCTTCTTAGGAAAGTATCACAAGAATGGAAAAATAAATATCCAATGGACTCAATGCTAACATGAAACCAATATATACACAATTACATTGCTCATATGAACGTAAAACAAATATAGTCCAGTACAGGAATAGAGGGAGGCAGGAGGGGGAAGGGGGGGAGGGCATGGGGTGGGATCTCACGTAATGTGCACATTGTGGGGGTGTATAACACGTGCCCTGGGTGAAGGGTTCTTTTACAACTGGAAGTTTACTCTGGAAATGAGAACCATGTAACCTAAAAATTTGTAACCTCATATTAATTTGAGGTAAAAATAAAGGGATTATCACCTTGAAAGTTTAATACAATTATTTATTAAGTACACATTTCACATGTGGGAAGGACAGGGAGGTAGAGATGCTCCCCTCCGCCCCAGTGAGGCGGGGTGTGTCAGTGAGGGCACACTGGCAGAAGGAATGCTTTTTGCAAATGGGTCTATTCAGACTTCCTAAAGGGGCCTCTGCATGTGCCAGCAGCAGTTCTGGAGACTATTTTTTTCTTTAAAGGCAACTGATTTTTTCAGTTACTTAAAATGTTAGTCTGATGGCCAGACTTTTAACAATTATTGGTGTTGTCTAATAATCAACCCTGTGTTGTGCCTTGGGCTTGGAAACTGAACCTTGGTTTAAATCTTGACTCTATTTATAAGCTGTGACTCTTTGGCCAGTAAACTTTCTTTTCTTTTTTTTTTTTTTTTTGAGACAGAGCCTCAAGCTGTCGCCCTGGG